GTATAACAGTGTAAATTTGCTGTCCCCTCAAAATAACTCAACACACAGCCATTAATGTCTAAACCGCTGGCCACAAAAGTGAGTAAACCCTAAGTGAAACTGTCCAAATTGGACCCAAAGTGTCAATATCTTGTGTGGCCACCATTATTTTCCAGCACGGCCTTAACCCTCTTTGGCATGGAGTTCACCAGAGCTTCACAGGTTGCCACTGGAGTCCTCTTCCACTCCTCCATGACGACATCACGGAGCATATATATATATATATATATATATATATATATAGATTTTATTTTCAAGCACTTTCTAAAGCAACATGTTTTTTTTGTAATTGACAAAATTATTGGTATATTACATTATATTTTTATCATATTTAAGTTTGAAATAGTTTTGTATTTGTAATCTAATTGTAATTGTATTCTTGTAGTATGAACAGCTATTTCTGTTTATCCCTGTGGTTGTTTGATTCTTTCTTTTTTTCCCCCTTTAATGCGGTGTCTTGTGCCCAGGGCTGTATTTTCTACCCAGTCTGAAAGTAAAGCTTTTCATCCTTTCTTTATCATAGATGAGCCCACTCGGTCTCTCAGTGGTCTCATTTTGAAGAACAACGTTAAGGCCCATTACCAGAACTTCCCAAACGGCGTGTCTGACTTCATCAAAAATGAGTGTCTGCAGAACATTGGAGACTCCTCACCGCTCATTAGAGCCACAGTGGGTGAGTATGGACCGACAAAGCATTTTCTGTGTGACTCTGAGCTCCCAGCTTTTGCCATCATGACAAACAATATTATGCCTTTGGGGGCTGTGTCTGGCTTTGTGTTGTTGCTTTCAATGTAAGATCATTTATTGACTCTTATGTCCGAGAATACACAGTGTGCCTAAATTAGCCTTCTGTGATTGTGATTAGACTGTTATGAGGAATGCAGTGCTGTGTTTCTATGGTTACCTAGCATCGACAGCGTAAAATATCATTCCTCCTCTTTTTGTTTATTTGGTTTAAAAAATGTAGTTTTTTTTGTAGTCTTTTATGAGTATTTTCCCACACAGTGATTAATGTAGTGAAAAACTGAGTATAATTTGTCCACATATTATAATGTTTTGTTATCAGATTTGCATAACAGCTTGGTTTTTGTGTAGATGTTTGCTTCTGGCAGTTGGTTATGTGAACTGCAGTATAGGCTGGTCTGAATGGTGCATTATTGTGCATATGTTTGTGTTCCTCAGGTATTCTGATCACAACTATAGCCTCTAAAGGGGAGTTACAGAACTGGCCGGAGCTTCTACCTAAACTTTGTTTACTTCTGGACTCAGAGGACTATAATACTTGTGAAGTAAGACACACAAACACACACTTTGTGATGGCCTTTCTCTCCTCTCTCATGTTTCTTCTCTTCAATCTCACGTAATCTCATGTTTCTCTCTCTCTTTGTCCTTCTAAGTGGAGCTGTAAGTTGATGGATGTTGCTGACTCATTGTCTAAAACTGTAGTGTAGTTCAAGGCATCCTCATCTAAAGCCTCAGCATTATAATTGAGGTTTGCTGATCTATGTGTATTACAACATACCTTCACAGGGAGGTTTCTCTGCTTGGCTTCGTGATGTAAAATTAATTTACGTCATCAGGGCGTGCTCATCAAACTCTTCTGCAGGGTTCTATATATCTATCGTTGATTTATTTGTTTTCTTATTGCTCTGGATGTTTGGTTTTAACGTTTTGTTGAAAAAAATCATACCTTTTGTAATATCTTAATTCAGATGATCGTATAATCAACAAAGTTTTGGTTTGTAAAGTATATAAATGCTGCTCTTTTTTAACTTTCTATTCATCAAAGAATTCTGAAAATTGTATCAATGTTTTCACAAAACTATTTAGCAGCACCAACTGTTTTTAAAATTGATAATAAGATTGATTGATTTTTTATTTTATTATTTTTTTAAAATCTGATTATCAGAATGATTTCTGAAGGATCATGTGACACTGAAAACTGGTGTTATCTGTCACTATTGGTATTGGTGCATTTATGCCATGTCAGAATTACTGTAACTGAGCTTGCTATAAAGTAATTACAAGTTCTGTGAGCACATGAATGCTTTATACAAGTTACAGCTCTCTGATTTGCTGTGAGTTGTCCTCTTAATTAGGTAATAATATTGATAATTCTGACATAGTGTAAATAATTTAATAATAATTAAAAAAATGTTTTTATGCATTTAGCAGACGCTTTTATCTAAAGCGACTTACAGTGCATTCAGGCTATACATTTTTACCAGTATGTGTAAATGTGAATGCATCATATGTCCTATATTTAGCACTGATAGAATCCTGTATTGAACAGATTGGTGCATTTATGCCATGTCAGAATTACTGTAACTGAGCTTGCTATAAAGTAATTACAAGTTCTGTGAGCACATGAATGCTTTATACAAGTTACAGCTCTCTGATTTGCTGTGAGTTGTCCTCTTAATTAGGTAATAATATTGATAATTCTGACATAGTGTAAATAATTTAATAATAATTAAAAAAATGTTTTTATGCATTTAGCAGACGCTTTTATCTAAAGCGACTTACAGTGCATTCAGGCTATACATTTTTTACCAGTATGTGTAAATGTGAATGCATCATATGTCCTATATTTAGCACTGATAGAATCCTGTATTGAACATGCAGAAGCTGCGAATGGAACGCTATGGTGACCGGAAGTAAGCTGTTACACCGCCATAGCTGAGAACATAAAAATCACTTAGCAACCGCAAACAAGATGGCATAGCGCGGCATTCAGTCATTTATTGAGTTTTATGAGGAGAATGTTTAGGCAATACTTCCATTGCTCGCTTCACAACATCTCTAGCAGTGGTGTATAAAGTACCTGAAAGCCATACTCAAGTAAAAGTATAGATATCTTACCAGAAAATGACTTTGGTAGAAGTTGAAGTCACCGTTTAGAATATTACTTGAGTAAAAGTCTTAAAGTATGTGATATTTATTGTACTTAAGCACGAAAAGTATTTTTTAAATCTTAAACCTACTTAAGTATTGAAAGTAAAAGTACAAGTAAATGCAAAATGGAAAAGAAGCGAATAAATATAAATAAAAAATGTTCATACACTGCTTGAGTACCAAGATTGTGTTCAGTTTGAACTCTTTCTTCCATTTTGTATTTTTTGGTAAGAATAAGAAGCACTTCATCCGGTATTTAGTGTCTTTCATTCCAACATAAGAAAACATTTCTGGAATCTGCATCTGAAATAGCAATAAGATGTATTTACACAGTTTATGTATCTCAAAGGGGACATGAATGCATTTAAACTGCAGTTACAGATGCATAAATAGGCCTAATGTTTTGTTTTTAACATAAAACGTTGAATACTGATATTTGAAATAATTTAAAACATGAACAAAATAGTCGAAATGTGAAATTAAAACCGCCAGTAGGTGGCAGCAAATGACTGTTATTGAGTGAGTCATTGAGATTCAACCAATTCATTCAAACGGCTGATTCTTTCAGAAACAAAGCATTTGACTGTGTTAATGAGTGAATCACTGAATCATTTATTCAACCGATTTGTTCAAAAAGCTGATTCATTCAATAAGTAAACACCATCCATTGCTCAGAGACGCAAAACAGTGCTGTGATCTTTGTTTGGAACTATTTTCGTTGGCAAAACTGAGCAAAAACAAGCAATGTGTAAAATGTAAGTCACTTATTGCTTTACTGAACTTGTATAAAATGATTATTAAATGTGTTCATGCTGATATTTGCAGAAAAACGGTAGGCTACTCTTTGTGTGATATAGATTAAGTTAACTATATTAAATTATATAAACATAAAAAAAGCATACAGAAGCATTTTTTGCCGTCTACAATTTAGAATGCCTTGAATTTTGAGTTTTAATAGACTAATAAATCTTGTGCGTGCACTCTCTGTGATATACTTGATAATGTCAGATCGCACATCATTACAACATCACTTACCATATTATCGCAGACGATGCTGTATCACACACCCCAGACTCGACTTGAGAGGAAAATGAATCATCCGCGGTTGTGCGCGCACTTGTTTGCTCATGAGCAAAGGAGTTTTTAGGAGTCTAACTTGCAAGCGCCAGACCACTGATTCGTCAAACCTGCTTTCCTGCAGTCCGTGTTCTTCTGACTTCTGACTATTTTTGTAGTAAGTAACGAATATGCTTTGGGGAAATGTATCGAAGTAAAAGTATACATTTTAATTAGGAAATGTAGTGGACTAAAAGTAAAAGTTGGCTGAAATATAAAAACTCAAGTAAAGTACAGATACTCCCAAAAAAATGCTTAAGTACTGTAACGAAGTATTATTACTTCGTTACAATACACCACTGATCTCTAGTCTCAGTGCTACCTGAGTTGTTACTAACAGCAGACATATCTTTGTACAAACGGAATAATCATTAAAATTAGCTTAATTTTAAAACATATCAACACAGATTAAATAAAAGACTAATGGTAGAATCACATACTGATGCAATTACAATGCTGTGTACCATGAAACGTAACATTTACTTGCCTTATCTGTCACATTGTAACGACTACGGCAAATCAGCCGTTCTCCCGTAATAGTTAAAGTCGTGCATGTGCAATACAACATCAGAATGCCATTGCCGTTCCATCAGTGGCTGTTGCTTAAAGTCTCTATTATAAGGGGAAGGAGAAGGATCACTCGTTGATAAATGAATAGGAGAATAATTAAGGCTCAGTATGGTCACCGTCTGCCTTAGTAGTTAATTTACTCTAGAATGTGCATTAACTGTATATATCAGAAAATTACATTATTTTATGTGTTACTTAGGCTAAAGAAGAAAAGTGTATGATGCCACTGTTGTAAAATTGTATTGCTTATTTGAAATATGTTATTGGTATAATTTAGTAAACACTTTTGGTTATTTAAATCTTTATCTCTTTATTACATATACTTTGTTCAAGTAGATGTGCTTGTGTGCCTCTTACCGACATAGAAAATACATGCTTAGAAGCATTACCAATACTGAACTGACTAAGCTTGAAAGAACTTGGAACAAGGTCATGAGTTTAATTCCAAAGACACATAAGTGGTAACATAAGCAGCAGACAGCCTAGCTCTTTGTGGGTGTGTGGGTGTAAAAAGGAGAAAGCATCCATCCACTGCTGTGATCCTCTGGTTTGGTTGTGGCATGCCATGTGGGTCCTCATATTGCTATATGAAGTCTAAAGCAGTTGAGAGACATTTCCAGAATGTCGGCGATGACTTTATTTAGCTTGGGCATGAAGTGGTTTTGCTTTCTGTAATGGGTTTAATGTACAGGGATGACGTTTGTTATCTTGTTTATGGCTAAGATGCTCCTGACCTTTAAATCATAGTTTATTGGCTGAAAGTGGCCACAGCCCTCACTGGCCGTTATATGAGCAAACTGATGCGGAAATGCATATGAAGGTGAACTGGATGATGAAATCCGTGTATCATTCGATCATTCGTTTTTTGATTTAATATTGAAAGTAGAAAAATTAGAAAATGGCTTCATTTTCAGCAACTTTACAGTTAATCCGTACAACTGCAGCAGTGGAGGACTATTATTCTGCTGCATGATACTGCAGAAGAACTGATGATGGCACGGTTTGATCTTCGGCTGACCAATCAGCAGAAAGGGGCGTTTAATTCCCGCCCACATGTAGAAATCGAATATTCAAGCTGTTTATTCATTTTCCCACCCATGAACGAAAAACTCAAATTTAAGCTGAATTCTCCTTTTTCGTTTTCCGTTTTCTAATTTTTCTACTTTCAATATTAAATAAAAAAAACGAATGATCGAATGATACACGGATTTGATGACATCACTGAAAAATAACTCTTTGTTATTGTCTTCTTGCATTATTGACAAACTATTTTCCTGTTTAACACTGTAAAGCTGCTTTAACACAATCAGTATTGTATAAAGCGCTATACTGTATAAATAAATGTGACTTGACTTGGCTAGTAATTACTAAGGCGCCAAAGGCCATTTATTGTTTGTTGTGAATATTTAATGATATCCAAGACAATGTCTTTGTATATGTATATAGTAGGACTGTCAAATTGGCTGAAAAATTAAATTCGAATTTTGTACTTAAATATTGTCAAAATTCGAATTATATTCAAATTTAAAATGCATAATTTCAGTTAGGGTGAAGAAAAGCGTTTGGCTTCTCTTCTGAGGCCACAAGAGGAAAATATTACTAATGCACGTTTATTCAAAGCATAAGATAACATGACTATCTGTGAAAAAAAGTGCATAATGTTTAAAATGATGTTTATAAACCAATTATAATTAATTAAGTTGCTTAAAGGGGGTGGTTGATTGCAATTTCACTTTTTAATGTTAGTTAGTGTGTAATGTTGCTTTTTGATCATAAACAATATCTGCAAAGTTACGAAACTGAAAGTTCAATGCAAATGGAGATATAAAAATTTAATTTTAAAATTCTGGCGGTTTAATGCCTACAAAAACGACTGGTAAGGGACTACAATGAGTTACTTCCCGGGTCCGTTACGTCAAGAACCCAGAGTTTTACATAAACCCCGCCTCCGGGAACACGCAGCAAAGGGGGCGAGGCCATGCTGCCCTGCTTTAGAGAAGAGGAAGAGAAAACTACAGGTGCACGTAAAAATCTATTCATATATGAATCGCGATTCTGTCTTCTAACGATTCTAATGGATTCACAAGTTTCAAAATCAATGTTCTAAAGCAGCGGTTCTTAATACTGTTCCTGGCCTCGCCCTGCTCTGCACACACTCTGCATCTCTCTCTCATTCAGATCATCAGCTCAGTGAATACACTTATTTTCACATACTATAGTTATGAGATGCATTATACATGGACGCGTGTGCGGTTGCCGAACTGTATTAAAGCATTAATCAGAATAAAACTGTATATTAAAAGCTAACCGAAGCAGTAGCATTTACAAATAACAGCGTATCTAAAAGTATGAGACAACAACAAACAAAAATCTTAGGCCTACCATTAAAAGCCGTGCTTGCACAGGTTCTGCATGATCCTCTTCAATAATGTCCTCTGCGTCTCAATCGGGCTCAAATTGATAAGCAATATAGACGACGTCATTGTTTACAATACAACCGGAGCACATGCCGCTATGTTGAGGGGCGGGACGTTTAGCCAATCACAACACACTGGGCCAGCTAATCAATCAGAGCCCATCGTGTATTTCTGAGGGAGGGGCTTCATAAAAGCAGGAAATGATCAGTGCGTTCAGAGGAGAAGGGACACAGAGGTGTGGAATAAAGGTAAATTATGTGAAAAATAATGTGTTTTTTTTTAACAAACGAAGCATTAACACATGTTAGACTGCACCCCATAAACACAATCAAGCCTTTCAAGTGAACCACCCCTTTAAACAACTATAAACAAAACCGCATCATGTATGTATGCATAGTTTAATACAAAGGGCGGAAAGCCAATCATACATTTTTCATTTAAAAACATGAGATGCAGTGGGATGGGGGAAAAACCCACCATAGAGTCTCGAGACATGTTTTTTTCAAAGTTAAACTTGCATTAATTTTACATGGCTTTTAAACATGCTACTCCTTTGTGCAAGTGCGAGTGCAACGGTGATGGATGTCCTAGAAAATGCGTGAAATATGTTTTCTGTGTGAACGGCTTGGTTTCAGTTTTGACGTAAACAAGATCTTCTCCGCATTGATGTTCTCTTTTCCCACAATATTTGTAATTAACAACTCGGAAGCACTGCATCTAGTGGCTTCAACTGGATAAGCTATGAAAATCATTCAAATGCAATGACACTTACATCGTCATCGCATTTTGTGTGCCCCTGATAAGGCTTCCTGACGCACACCGTTTTTGCATTCGAATGTGGATTTTTATTGTGAATTCGACGAATATTCGAAATTCGAATTTCTTTTTACAGCCCTAGTATATAGATACATACATACTGCATATAAATATATATAGATGTAAAGACTTGGTGTTTTGACCTTGAGGGACTGGTGGCTTCCTCTGTTGTTTTCTCTAAGCTCTCTAGCTCAAAATATGCCATCTCCAACCAAGTGGAAGCTGACAGTGGAGACAGTTGCCATAGCGACAGCCGAGCCAGACAGCTCGTTGCCACGGCACCATTTATGCTCGTGACCTGATTAGATTCCTTACAGGTGGAATGTCTATGAGATCAGGAGGATGCTTGATGTTGTTGGGTGGGTCCCTCTGCTGAAAGGTCTGGCTTTGGTATTGTTCTACATCAGATTCGTTTTTGAGTGTTGCAGTTAAACATTACATTTTGCATGGCACCTAGCTTTTTCTGCTACAGAAGAAGTGATATCGCCAACTATAGGGCACTGAGAGTACTAGGCCTATATCTTGTGCATTTTGTCCTTACTCACCCAAACTTGTTAATAAGGCTACTTTACGTAATTGTGAGTTCCTTAGCAAGTAGTTGTGAATCACAGGTGTGAGATGAGGACATGACTGCAGCCAGCAATGGACCGAAACAGCACATCCAGTTTTGAATTTTACTTAACATTATTTTATTTATCCGTTATACTGAAGAGACCTTTTTGAAGGATATTGTGTTTTTTTTTTTTTTTTGGTTTTAGAAAATAAACGTGATTGAAAATCAGATACTCTAAGACTTTTACTCAAGTTGTTTTGGAATTGGTAACTTGTAATGGAGTAATTTTTGCTGTAAGGTATCTGTACTTTTACTCAAGTATGGTTTTCAGGTACTCTTTACACCTCTCATTTCCTAACTGGTACTTTATCCTTTGTGCTCTATATAGTTAATGTATACAGTGTATTGTTAATAATAATACTGTAATAGTAATAGTACTAGTAGTTTCCATATTATTGTCTGTGTATTATGTAATGAGCCTACGAACCTGTTAAGTATGCACATAGCCAGACCTGTAGTGTCTTCTGAACACAGACTACTTACCGAGAACCCACGTTACTTCCATGAAGATTTCAGTTACTTATTACCCTAAACATTTATTTCCTGTTTCTGTTAAGGTGTGGTTTAAATGTCAAGTTGCATCCTTGTACATTGATGTCAGAGTTGACATTTTTTATTTATTTTTTTACCCATTACTGTACAGTTACTTAAATATTATCATGTAATTTCTGCTCCCTCTACAGAATTTCTCATGTTCTGCTTTACATTTTCGCTTAAATTAACCTACAGCTGTTTTTGGCTGTCTGCATTGTATTAAATCTGCATGTCACCTACAATGTACACTCCATGAGTCAGCTGTGAGCTTGAGGCAACAGCAAAAGTATTCTACTTTATTTTCAGCAGCACTGACTGCACTTCAAGCCAAAAATAGAAATGGAGTGTCTGTCAACTGAAGGCCTCAGTGTTACTGTGTGACAGTGACGACTGGTTAGGTCAGTTTGATTGATTTTGATGGAAGTGTTCTAGATCAAAGATTTGAGGTTGTTCAGTGAGAAGGGGAAATAGGTATGATTTGTCTGTTCATTCCTGCTGTGTTTGTCTTTTCAGGGGGCTTTTGGAGCCCTGCAAAAGATCTGTGAGGACTCTGCTGAGATCCTGGACAGTGACATGCTGGACCGCCCACTCAACGTGATGATCCCCAAGTTCCTGCAGTTCTTCAAGCACAATAGCCCCAAAATCAGGTAAGATAAGCCTGTGTTCCCTAATGGAGCACAAATGTTTGAAACTGCGAGGAGTAGCGATCGACCGATATATCGGCCGATATTTGGCATTTTTCAAATATCGGCATCGGCCGATAAGTTTTTCTGTTTGGCCTATGCGTTCGAGGCACGCTCATATTCTCCCTCTTGATCGCCGTCGTCGTTAACAGTTCTGTCTAATACGGATAGAAGTCTGTCTAATAATCCGATAGAACTGTTAAACAAAGGAATTAAAATGTATACAAAAAGTATTATAACGATTGCTTTTATATTATTAGTAATAGAAAGGCAAACATTATAATACTTTATTGTTTGCCGTCAGCATTCAGCAAATGCGCATTTACATAATTTAAACAAATCTTTGAATGGCTTATGAAATTTTAATTTCACAAACCTTGCAAACTTAGTCGAATCCAGTTGTGAGATCTTGTGAAGCGTGCATGTGACCTGCATGATCGCGTGTTCTCTGCGTGACTTTCGGTCCGTGCTAATGCTTTAACAATAAATTCGTGATTTCAAATTATGCTGCACTTTATGCATTTGCCCACTGTCATATTCATATCATTTTCACTGTGTGCTGTATGTAAAATGAGTGTTACCTTGGATTTATTTGAAAAAATATGATTCCCAATGCACACAAACTTCCCAGAATACTGAGTGCTCTGTTGGTTACAGTTTACTTCCTTTTTAATTATATTTTTATAAAATATTTATTTATTTGTGGAAAATACTTTGTCATCTAAAGTATAAGTATGTTTATTTTACAATTTTATTTTATTATCCATTTTCAAATGATTTAACATTTCTTAAATATTAATTAAAATAAATACAATTATATCTGCCATCTGCCATTTATTTTAATTTTAATTGTTTAATTAATACATTTAGACAGGGATTGTCATGATACCAGATTTTCTTTTTGTGCGCTTTACCTTTTTTTTGGCCAATGAATCACACTGAAAAAATTCAAGTGTAGGGAGGTGGAGAGAGAGTTAGTAACCATAACTACGCAAAAGTGTTCAAAAAGAACTCACTATTGATCAGACTGGACAGGGGCATCGGACAGGGGGTAATAGTGGAACACAATGAGCGTGATTTTGCAATCGCAACCCCCCCTCTTGTTTTCGTCAGTTATCGCTTCTTTTCCAACGTTATTTTGTGTGGCAGTAGTAGATGCACACTGCGTCGTCGTCTTTTTCCATTTTAGGATGAGTGGCAACCAGCATTAAGATGCAATAACACCAGCTACTGTGTTTACCTGCCAATCAGATCCATCCATCCAGTTACTAGTGCAAGACTATTTACAATATTATTTTATGTGTAGTAACATTATGCCGATATTAAATTTTTAAAATATCATTGTTATCTTCAATACCAGTCACACTAATTTAAACTACTACTTGCTGTACAGTTGTTCAGGCTTGTTTGATATATGTACTGTGCTTGTTGTCTGTTGTAGGTCTCATGCCATTGCCTGTGTCAACCAGTTTATCATCAGCAGAACACAGGCCCTGATGCTGCACATAGATCCTTTCATTGAGGTACCACCTACAAAATGAGCCACCTTAATAGGACGTTCACCCAAAAATGATAATTCCGTTATGATTTACTTACCCTATTATTCCAGATCCCAGAATTGTGATGCCAGTTTTGAGGAAGTTGTCATTGTTTAGTTCTAAGAAATGAACATATTTTTATATGTATGTGTGTGTCTTTGTGGCACAGAACCTGTTTGCACTGGCAGGTGACGAGGAGCCCGAAGTGAGGAAGAATGTGTGCAGAGCTTTAGTCATGCTTTTGGAAGTCAGATTAGACCGTCTCCTTCCTCACATGCACAACATCATCGAGGTTAGATCACACCTTCTTCAACCCCTCATTAAAACCTAATGTAACTAAACTCTATTACATGATTGCTGAAAGTGACATTGACCTTGAATTATCTACTGTCTTGTATAACTAAATGTTTTTTCATTTAAATGTTTTTATAAATTTGGTCAGAAAATCACACAGAGGCAAAGTGAAGGAACAGCAGCCTCTTGTGGACTTTCTTTAACTAGTTTGGTAAAAGTAGAATCAATGAGCCTTATTCATGAAACGCAAAATTAAAAATTAATTTCTGTGTAGTTCGTACATAAAAGCGTTATGGTACATTCTGTGTATTTTTTTTTTGTTGGTAAAAATTACTTTTTGAACAGTTTACACACAAATATGCTCTGTTCATGTTTCATGAATAAGGCCCAATGTGTTTATACTCACAAATCCTTTTTCTGTTTTTCAGTACATGTTGCAGAGGACACAAGATCAGGATGAAAATGTCACTCTGGAGGCCTGTGAATTCTGGCTCACACTCGCTGAGCAGCCTGTGTGTAAGGAGGTTCTGTGTGGACACCTGCCCAAGTGAGCATGCACAAACACACAGTGTCCTTTTGATAAAACAAAAAAAACCAACAACTCATGTGGATGCGTTCAATTATAATACAGTTCTGCAACAGGGCAAAGCTGCTTATTTGATGTAAATTATCATGATCAGTCATCAGAGTTTTTTCTTTTTTGTCACAGATTGATACCAGTTCTTGTGAATGGAATGAAATACTCTGAGATTGACATAATCCTGTTGAAGGTCAGTTTCACTCTCTGGTTCTAAAGCTTCTTTTTTGAGTATCAACTAATCGACACTTTTTCATATGCCATCCTAAACATAAAACATAAAAGAGTAAAACACCTGTGATTTGCCATTGAGTTCATACACACAGGAAACATGTGATTTGGTTACGATGCTCAGCCGCATTTGAAAAAAAAAAAAAACCGCATTGCCAATTTGTTTACATTTGTCATATTCAAATTAATAGCATTTTATTTTCCACATCTTAGCCTGTCTTTTAGAAACTGAGTTATAAAGTACATATTCAGCTAAATAAATACAGAAAGCATTTTATCAAGAATACATTGGTATCTTATATTTATTTTAAAAGCATGTAATTACATATTAGTGCTTTTAAAAAGATGGCCGATTGTAAGCTTGTCAAAAAAAAATGTTTTTTTAAATAAATAAAGATTAAGAATAATTGATTTCCAGGGTGACGTTGAGGAGGACGAAGCAATCCCAGACAACGAGCAGGACATTCGGCCAAGGTTCCATCGCTCACGCACTGTGGCCCAACAACACGAGGGGGGAGACTCCATTGAGGAAGAGGACGATGATGAAGATGATCTGGATGATGATGAAACCATCTCAGATTGGAACTTGAGTAAGAAACAGTGCACTTTAAAAAGGACACAGACTCAGCCAAGTCCTGGTCTTCTTAAAATGGACGTACATTGAGACATTGCTTTTGTCTGCATTATTTTTTCTGGTGTGTGTAGGGAAATGTTCTGCAGCTGCACTAGATGTCCTGGCGAATGTTTTCAGAGATGATTTGCTGTTGCATATTCTTCCTTTACTGAAAGAACTACTGTTCCATCCAGAGTGGCTTATTAAAGAGTCGGGCATACTTGTACTGGGAGCCATTGCTGAAGGTATTCCAAAATTTTCTATTCATTCTATAATTCACTCATTGCATAAGCATTAGAATTTAAAAAGGGAAACATGGACATACCTACACTATGTTCAGAAGTTTGCAGTCGGTAAGATTTTTCTTCTTAGTGTCTTATGTTTACCAAGGCTGGATTTTCTGTTGATCATAAATACATAGATACAGTCATATTTTAAAATGATTTCAATTGAAAATAAATGTTTTCTATTTGAATATATTTTAAAATGTCATTTATTTCTCTGATAGAAAAGTATAAAACAGTTGTGCCGATTAATCTATTTGTGAAAACCGTGATAAAAAAAAAAAAGATCGGGATTCTTTGAAAAGTTCATAAGAACAGTATTTATTTGAAGTCAAAATCTTTGGTAACAACGTTATAAATGCCTTTACTGTCATGTTTAATTCATTAGTGCATCTTTGCTGAATAAAATAATTAATTTCCTTCAAAATACAACTATATCTTAAAGGAACCGGTTAACAATTTAGTTTACAGTGTTTGTGTTACACATGTTACTGTATTCTATAGTTAATTATTTTCTATAGTCTACTGTAATTTTCAAAGCAGTTTCAAAAAATAACGAGACACCAAGTTTTGGTTAATTATTAAATGAATGAATAAGGTGTGACCTTAATCTCTCGCTTTTTTTTAAATGATTATTTTTGAAGACAAGTATTTTCTTTATTTGCTTTAGGCTGTATGCAGGGGATGATCCCTTACTTGCCAGAGTTGATTCCTCATCTGGTACAGTGTCTGTCTGATAAGAAGGCACTGGTTCGATCCATCACTTGCTGGACTCTGAGCCGCTACGCACACTGGGTTGTTAGCCAGCCCTCCGACATCTACCTCAAACCGCTCATGACTGAACTACTCAAACGGATACTTGACAGCAACAAGCGTGTCCAAGAGGCCGCCTGCAGGTGAGCATGCATCGCAGTATTGTGTTGCTTGAAGCATGCATGTCATCTTGTTTACCTGAGGTGTCTTTTTAGCTTTCCTTCAACTCTTTTAATCTCTGACTCTCAATTTTCCTCCCACAGTGCCTTTGCTACCCTTGAAGAGGAGGCTTGCACTGAGCTGGTGCCGTACCTTGCTTTTATTTTGGATACGTTGGTCTTTGCTTTCAGTAAATACCAGCACAAGAACCTTCTCATCCTCTATGACGCTATTGGGACATTGGCTGACTCTGTGGGCCACCATCTCAACAAACCAGTAATTGCACAATCAAATACACAGAAATACTTTGTGTATCAGGCACATATTCCATAGAGTAGAGATAGAATGTTACATGCAAACACAATTGCCATGTTGCCTAGTGCTTTTGCAGCAGCATTCTAAATTATATTAAACCTCATGGAATCTCACAATGTTTACCGTAAAGATAAAAAATAGCTCTCTCTCTCACACACACAAATATTTGATAAAGTATTTAATTTTAATTACAATTACCTATTTGTAATTGTTTAAAGTATTTGCAAAATAAATAGAATAACATAATTCAAATTCTAAATCCTACATTTCTCTTTGTCTGCCATGTTGGATTTTTAGTTTTTGTTTGTTTTTTGTTTTGTTTTTTTAGTAACAGACTGTACATGTCTAATAAACACATGCAGGGCCATAGCTGGGGTTTGCGGGGCCCCGGTACAGGTTGTATCCGCGGGCCCTGTTTGAAAATAGCACAAATAAATAAAGTTCAGGCACAGAAACCAAATAATCAAATGTAAAATAGCATTGCATAGTCTTCACTGTATAAATTAAATATAATAATTAATTTATAATTAATAATAATTATGAAAATAATGTTTTTTCTTGTATTAACATAAGGACACTGACAGCAGCTAATAAATTAGGTGCGATCACTTTAAGATACAATGCATGGATCCAATATAATGACACACGTCCGATTAGTTTCTCAACTGTTTACGTTCACTTTAGACATAACCATGAGTTTTTCGAGGATACTCGCCAAGATTGGTATTTCAACATAATTTTGCATGTATTTGCCCATTCAAGCACAAGAAAACAATACTCAATTCGGAGTTCACGGCTCAATTCGGAGTTCAGCCATTAAAAATGGCTAGGTGTATTTGTTCGTTCATGCTCAAGAAGATGTGAAAGAGAACTCAATTCGGTGTTTGCAGCTCTCTGTGTGCGCACTGAACACAGCACGGAAGTACTCAGTTGAGTTCTTTCGTGTCTTCTTGTGCTTGAATGCTTTAAAATCTCTTAAATGTTTAAATTGGCAAGGCTTAAAAACACGTGCAAATGATAAGCTTTCGTGACGATGTGCAGCAGTGGCCCGTAAACTGTCCTGAGAACCTTTCATGCTGACTCGGGCAGTCGGTAGAAATATCAGATTTTTCATTACACTATTATCGTGGCCACAAAAAGTGGTTAACCAGAAAAATGAAAAATGGCACTTAATGTCTTAAAGGTTGCCAACCCCTGTTTAATAATATTCTATACAGTGATAAATGCTATGTCGATTAGCAATACCTTATAAATACTTTACCTTGTATATTAAAATAAGATGGCTTGAAAACAAGACAAACCACATACTGTTGCAATCCTGTGTTGACTGTCTTCATGTTTAATCAGATAAAACATTTCTTCTGCATTTTACTCATCTACAGCAATAGCTGGATGCCTACAGGGATTTCCTGGAACGTCATAAGTTCTATTACTCCTATGAATCTTGCTTGTGGACTTTCTGTGCGAGGGCGCCCTCCGGCGTCGAGTATGAATGAAACAAATGACATGTGAGAGTTAGAGTTAATTAATGGCGCTGGCACTGGGTTATTATGTGTCATATTGTCCTATGTGTATTATTAATTTTTAAATATGGCCAATACCGGCATATTGCGACACCCCTAATTAACACGATGGCGATATTTTGCGACACCCCTAGACCTTTCTCCCCACTAGCGACAGCCCTCAACACATGTATGACTACTGTATGTGTGTGCTCTGTGTGCAGGAATATATTCAGATGCTGATGCCTCCATTGATTCAAAAATGGAACCAGCTAAAAGATGAAGATAAAGATCTCTTTCCCTTACTGGAGGTAGTTATCTAACACTTAATTTATATAAACTACTGTTCAAAAATTTGGGGTCAGTAAGAATGTATTTAATTTAATTTCTTTGAAGGAAATTAATACTTTAAGCCAGCAAGGACTCTTTAAATCATTCAAAAGTGACAGTAAATACATTTATAATGTTTCAAAACATTCTATTTCAAATAAATGCTTTCTATTCATCAAAGAATTCTGAAAAAATGTATCCACTTTCAAATACAAACTTACTGAAAAAAAATCTTGCTGAACCCAAACTTTTGAACAATATGTATGTGTGCACAAATAAACAATTTGGAAAAACCAGCAGAGAAAAGCTATTTCAGCAGAAGTCACAGGAAATATTAGTATTGTTCTGAATCCAGCATTTTGATGCATGTACCTGATTATGACTCTATGTTGATTCCTCTTTCAGTGTCTCTCATCTGTGGCCACTGCCCTGCAGAGCGGCTTCCTGCCATACTGTGAACCTGTCTACCAGCGCTGTGTCAACCTGGTCCAGAAAACACTCGCCCAGGCTGTGGTGAGAAGCCACACAAATACACACAAACCCCCTCATCTCTCGGTAATACTGTCAGCTTAAAAAACTACTAGAGTGTGGAAAAGGTTGCAAAATAAGAAATGCACATAATTTAGAATCAAAACAAGGATTGCTTTAATCCATCATAGTGAATATCACTTGATCTCTTTCTCTGTCTCACAGCTCCACCAGAGTCAGCCTGAGTTTCATGAAGCGCCTGATAAAGATTTCATGATTGTGGCTCTGGATCTGCTCAGCGGATTAGCGGAGGGTCTTGGAGGGAACATTGAACAGCTAGTTGCCCGTAGCAACATTCTCACTCTCATGTACCAGTGCATGCAGGTAACTATAGAGCATAGCAAGACATTGTAGCACTGAGGCATGGTATGTTTAACCTAATATATTTTATTTAATATACTTAATACATTTTATTTTAATATATTTTAAAATGTAAAGTATTCCTTTGATGGCAAACTGAATTTTCAGCAGTCATTACTCCAGTCTTCAGTGTCACATGATCCTTCAGAAATCACTCTAAATTTGCTGCTCAAGAAACATTTATTATTATAATCATTGTTGAAAACACTTTGGATCTAAACCATTGTATGTTTGTGTCAACATGAGTGCCACTACTCATGTGTACTAGCGGCAGCGGTTTGCCACTTTATATAGGTAACGACTGAGGTATAGAAAACAACTTCATCTCTGTATAATGTATTTGTCTCTCTGAATTTACCATCTAATCTTTACATAGTAAGAATGTATTTAATTTAATTTCTTTGAAGGAAATTAATACTTTAAGCCAGCAAGGACTCTTTAAATCATTCAAAAGTGACAGTAAATACATTTATAATGTTTCAAAACATTCTATTTCAAATAAATGCTTTCTATTCATCAAAGAATTCTGAAAAAATGTATCCACTTTCAAATACAAACTTACTGAAAAAAAATCTTGCTGAACCCAAACTTTTGAACAATATGTATGTGTGCACAAATAAACAATTTGGAAAAACCAGCAGAGAAAAGCTATTTCAGCAGAAGTCACAGGAAATATTAGTATTGTTCTGAATCCAGCATTTTGATGCATGTACCTGATTATGACTCTATGTTGATTCCTCTTTCAGTGTCTCTCATCTGTGGCCACTGCCCTGCAGAGCGGCTTCCTGCCATACTGTGAACCTGTCTACCAGCGCTGTGTCAACCTGGTCCAGAAAACACTCGCCCAGGCTGTGGTGAGAAGCCACACAAATACACACAAACCCCCTCATCTCTCGGTAATACTGTCAGCTTAAAAAACTACTAGAGTGTGGAAAAGGTTGCAAAATAAGAAATGCACATAATTTAGAATCAAAACAAGGATTGCTTTAATCCATCATAGTGAATATCACTTGATCTCTTTCTCTGTCTCACAGCTCCACCAGAGTCAGCCTGAGTTTCATGAAGCGCCTGATAAAGATTTCATGATTGTGGCTCTGGATCTGCTCAGCGGATTAGCGGAGGGTCTTGGAGGGAACATTGAACAGCTAGTTGCCCGTAGCAACATTCTCACTCTCATGTACCAGTGCATGCAGGTAACTATAGAGCATAGCAAGACATTGTAGCACTGAGGCATGGTATGTTTAACCTAATATATTTTATTTAATATACTTAATACATTTTATTTTAATATATTTTAAAATGTAAAGTATTCCTTTGATGGCAAACTGAATTTTCAGCAGTCATTACTCCAGTCTTCAGTGTCACATGATCCTTCAGAAATCACTCTAAATTTGCTGCTCAAGAAACATTTATTATTATAATCATTGTTGAAAACACTTTGGATCTAAACCATTGTATGTTTGTGTCAACATGAGTGCCACAGTGTGTACTAGCGGCAGCGGTTTGCCACTTTATATAGGTAACGACTGAGGTATAGAAAACAACTTCATCTCTGTATAATGTATTTGTCTCTCTGAATTTACCATCTAATCTTTACATACACAGAATGACATTTGCATTTGCCTGCTGCAGATGAATTGCAAGAGATGCAAATAATGCAAACTCCACAAACTATTTGTGTGGACGTGCAGGTATGAGAAATCTAATGTGACAATGGTAATCTTTTGATGGTTGTATTTTCTCAGGATAAAATGCCAGAGGTTCGGCAGAGTTCTTTTGCTCTGTTAGGAGATCTGACCAAAGCCTGCTTCCAGCATGTCAAACCTTGCATTGGTATGGAGTTATTATTTACTGACTGACACTTTCTCAGTTTGATCCATCTCTGTTTACCTTCAGGCACTTAAACTTTGATTTGTTTGTGCTAATCTCTCCTTTCTAGCTAACTTCATGCCTATCTTAGGCTCAAACCTGAACCCAGAATTGATATCAGTCTGCAACAATGCAACATGGGCCATTGGAGAAATATCCATTCAAATGGGTGAGAGTTTCATCATCATCTTCGGTTATTAATTTCTCTAATTTCATCATACCTTCAAGGTTAACATGCTAGTTCTCTCTGCTCAGGTTCTGAGATGCAGCCGTATGTCCCGGTGGTTTTACAGCAGCTTGTGGAGATCATAAACAGACCCAACACACCCAAGACACTACTGGAGAATACAGGTACCATCTGAGGGGTACTAGACCAGGCTGACCCCTCATAAGAGGTTTCCACCCTCTCCTTTTCCCAAACTCTCCTAGTCCCCATTCCGCAGTGCTTATTAATCTCCATTCAAACTCCAGGAAGTGAACCTTACAAGGTTTGATAAAGGTTTTAGGATACTTGATGTGAAAATCTCTACCAGTGCACAGTATTCTGGGTAACAGTGTAGTGAATAAGAATAGGAGCAATTTTTTCTATATACAAAGTCAGCTGAGTTCCCTCAGCATATCCTGTCTTCAAATATGAATAGAACAGACCTTGTAACAGTCCAGCCATGGTACTGACTGAAGTGGATTAATAGAACAGTGAGTTCCATGTTAGCGAGTAGATCACCGTAATGAGGTTACAAGCATCAGTCAGTGAGATATTACAAACAAACAATGACGAATGTAAACCAACCTTGAGAGGAGTTTTAAGACCTGCTGTCTTTGATTTGAACATTTTTACTTGAAGATTTGAACCTTAAATAGTATTTTTTTTCCATTTATTTCAGAGAAATCTCAGATCTAAATCTGTTTTGTGGTGTTTAGATGAATTTATAGCACCTGTACCTCGCAAATAATTTCCCAGTTACACTCCACTCTGATTGGACTGCTCGAATTATATACAAAGTCAGCTGAGTTCCCTCAGCATATCCTGTCTTCAAATATGAATAGAACAGACCTTGTAACAGTCCAGCCATGGTACTGACTGAAGTGGATTAATAGAACAGTGAGTTCCATGTTAGCGAGTAGATCACCGTAATGAGGTTACAAGCATCAGTCAGTGAGATATTACAAACAAACAATGACGAATGTAAACCAACCTTGAGAGGAGTTTTAAGACCTGCTGTCTTTGATTTGAACATTTTTACTTGAAGATTTGAACCTTAAATAGTATTTTTTTCCATTTATTTCAGAGAAATCTCAGATCTAAATCTGTTTTGTGGTGTTTAGATGAATTTATAGCACCTGTACCTCGCAAATAATTTCCCAGTTACACTCCACTCTGATTGGACTGCTCGAAATGAAGCTCTAGACTGAGCCGTAATGGCTGCTGAGATTGATGTTTATTTTTCTTAAATGAGGGTGAAGACACTCCCACAGAAACAAGGGTACTTGTAGATGTGTTCCTGTTTGTCGATTTATTTCTGTTGTTTTAGTTTCTTTTATTTTTCAATGTGAATGCATATCTGCCAATAGATGTTGAATGTTGTTTAGTTAAGGACGGCTAATGTTTGATGCAGGATTGCTGATATCTTGATTATTCATGTTGCAAAGACTTTTACAAAGTCCTTTTAAAAATTAGAAGCAAGCGTGTGGCATAGGCAAATCCATACTGATCATTTTTAGACAGTTTTAAGTGCGAGTCTATTAACACACTACTGTTCAAAAGATTGGGTTGAGTACGATTTTTTTTTTAAAGAAAGAAATTAATACTTTTATTCAGCAAGAATGTATTCAATTGATCAAAAGTAACAGTAAAGACTTTTTTCTATCTTTTAAACTTAAGAATGTAAAAATGTATCACGTTTCCACAAAAATATTAAGCACCAAAACGGTTTTCAACATTGACCAAATCAGCATAAGGATCATGTGACACTGAAGACTGGAGTAATGGCTGCTGAAAATTCAGCTTTGCCATCACAGGAATAAATTACAGTATAAAATGGAAAACGGTCTTTTTAATTTCTAATAATATTTAACAATATTACAGTTTTTTTTTACTGTATTTTTGATCAAATAAAGCACAAGAGACTTCTTTCAAAAACATTGAAATATCTTACAGACCCCAAACATTTGAATGGTAGTGTATTTCTTCTTTATGCTGCAGGTTTTACATCAATGTGACAATGTTGAGTTTGTTCAATTTGTGAGTATTTGATCATCGATTTAATTACTAATTAAAATAATAATGGTGAACAGTGCTTAACTGTGTTTCAGATTCTTTGAATCAGCCCATCCTGCACTGAACTGCGTTCTCTAATGAGCCAATCATCTGCTTTCTGCATGTCTCATTGGACTGTTCATAAATGCCTGTCTTTAATGAGAATGTTGCATAGTTTTGTGTCTCTTAAACTTAGGTCTCCTTCCTCTGTGCCTCTTAAGATCCCGGTGGAATCTAGTCCTCTCCATGTAGTTCGCTTGGCGTAATATGCATTTCTTAAAGAAACAAAAGAGACAGAAAGAAAGACAAGACTTTTCTGTTCTACTGAAGAAATTTTTGTGAGTTTAAGGGAGAAAATCTTAGAAAACAAGATTGTTTTCTGTAGTCTTCACTCTGTAATACAGGGATTTGGGGGAAAAGCACCACATAAAAATCACATACAGATGTTACATGAATTTGGCAGACACTTGAAACAAAACATGAAAGTTTCTCTGTAACTCTGAGCTGTAGAGAAGCCGTGTTTTCTAAGACTCCTCCCTTAAACGAGATCTATGTTTTCTTAGTGTCATATTTTACATTTGACCCTGTAGTCTGGGGCTGTGAAGAGCACTAGTGAAATCTTGTGTTTATTCTCATACACAGATTCTGTTGAGTTCTGTTTCTGAGTTGTCTGTTTGTTTGTTTGTTTGTTTGTTTCTTTTTGTTTTTTCCTCCCCCCTCATTCGCTCATGTCTTGGTTGGCGTTTGGTGCTGTATAACCGTGATTGCGTTACCTTAGCAATAACAATTGGTCGTCTTGGTTACGTTTGTCCTCAAGAGGTGGCACCCATGCTACAGCAGTTTATAAGACCCTGGTGTGTATTATTCAATCTTTTATTTCATTCATTCCCTCTTTCTGTCTATCTTCTGGCTTTTCTCCCTACGCTTCTCTCTCTTTCTTTCTCTCACTCGCTCAATCTCTCTCCAAACCTTGTCCCAGTGTTCTTGAAAAGGCTCCTGCTTTTCTTCACGCCTTGTGCTAGTATAGAAACGGCCAGGATTTTGTAAATGCAGCATAAATTTCACCAGCATTATATTTATATTTTCTTGTGAAAGCGACTGAGCAAGAAGACATGGTAGGAGGCCTATTCAAGACATTTGAGGGAAGGTGTCCTTATCTTTCTCTCTACCTTTCTCTCTGTTCTGTATGATTCAGTCTAAATCATTGCCAACCATGTGACTAACCCTGTCCCTCTAGGTCTTGTCGTTTAATTTGCCTCAGTAGCACCTTCATGTATTCTCAATTGATTTATTTCAGTTTTCACTTCTGTTTTCGTCTTTTATTGTCGCTATCTAACTACTAATTGAGTGCATGGGGTAATATCAAATGCTTGCTGGTTTTAGGAAACGGAAGTGCTAGTTAAATGGATAAAAAGAAGAGAAATGGAAAAGCTTCTTTAAAAAGCATTTCTCCAACAACAAAAAAACAGTGACACGAAGATATGTGTAAACTCTGTAGGAAAGTGCCTGGAGACAAGCTCTGAAAGCTTCTAAAAAAAACAGGTTTTGTTTATTTTCTGGACTGTATCATTTAGGGGTGGGTGTAACGTAAATCTCAACTGGGCGCAAAGTGTAAGTCCTATGCATGGGGTGATGTAGGGTATAGCTCGACTGCATGAAAGTGTGCAGACCGTGTTTTGTGTGCCAGCTATGCACAGCAGTAGACGGTAAATATTTAAAGACGGTAAATGCTAAAAACGTACCATATTTTAGAGGCTCCGTCTAAAAGGTAACACAGCGTAACTGTAGAAATGTAACTCCTCTCATGTCATTGATAGTGAAAGGGTTTTCATCTTTGCAAATGCTTTAGTCGGCAGTGATGCAAAGATAAAGGAATAAAAATCTGAATAACTGCATAACTTTATTTTTAGTTAGCATGCGCAAAGCGAGAGGGAAGACTCCATATTAACGTAGTGAAGATGTTTGAATGGTTCAAACAAAGTGCTCTATCACTCTGTACGAGGCTTTAATGTTCCCGAGTCTCACTTTCTGATTTCCAGCGTGGCTTGACATGGATCCAAACTAGTGAACCCTAAACGCACATATTGTTCACATTTGAGACATACATCAGCGATTTCTTTTTGCTTAGTTTGCTCAGAGCATGAATTTGAAGATGCTTGTGATATCTTTTTTTTTTCAATCTGGATGTCATTTGTTTGATTTTGTGCATGTTGGTGGCCCATTGAGCAATCTGTTTTTTTTAGCACCCCTCATACAGACTAGTTTTAATAATGCATTTTTTCCACACATACACAATATGTGACGTGTTTTCCATCCACGTATTGCTTTTGTGACTTGTTTTATTTCGTTTCGTTTCCTCCTGCATGAATGTCCCATGTTGTGTTGTGTATATTCCTGGACAGTTCAGTGCTCGTGGAGGCAGTATTTGTGTCCCTCATGTGAATAGTAGCAAGCCTTAAAATGCCTGAATGTATCCCAGAGTGTGAGGATTTAGGTATTAAAAACTTTGCGTTTCAAAGTTGCTATCTCAGACAGACAAGACTGATGTTCATACTCATCTGGAAGCCAGTGAAATGGTTCTTTCAAGTGTAAGTTATGGATTCAAACCGAAGCAGCTGAGAGGTCAAACCTTCAAGGCTGTAAGAAGATTTAGAAATCTGAACACCACGGGATACTGTCAGGTGTTTGTGAGTCTGTTGTGAAGGTGTATTTCTGCAAAGTGTTTTTAGTTTCTTCAGTTTGTCTGTCACATTCCAGCTGTTTTGCATTTGTAACCAATAAGAAAGCTCGGAGATTGTTCTGACTAAAAAAAATGAAAAGAACAAACAAAGAAACAAGATGTAGGCAGATATTATGAATGTTAAGTGTGTCGTCTTACACTTATGAATGCTGCTATGTGTTGTAATTTTCTACTTGAATATATTATGTTGTAGAGACCTCAGGAGGTATGTTTACCTTTTATTTTTTTTCTTTGCTGTGTGTTTTTTAAAAGTTTTATTTTTATGAATGCCTTTCCTCACTGTTCAGGCTCCCATGTTTCATAATAATAATAATGATAATAATAATAGAGCAATTCACTGTAATCCATTCAGCTGCTAGTGAATATCCTTTCTAACGGGCATATTTTTGTCATTGTCTCCTCGTAAAAGAATGTAAAACGTTTGTTTTGTTTTTTATTAGAGGAGATATCCGTTAATGGACACTTAAATAGGATACTTCATGTGGGGATAAAATGGAAGTAACTGGCCCTTATGTATGTGAACATTCGTTATTTATGAAATATGCAGTAAATACTGTACCACCTTGAAGTTTTCCGGGGGTGGGGGTATAAATATGGCCACGAGACTTGGAGTAATGAATCTAATGGTTTTACTTTTTTAATTGTTTTGTCGTCTTTTCTTTTTGTGAAGTACAAAATGTAAAAATCTAAATGTTGTGTCCCCACCCCAGACTGCACCTGTATAGGTCTATGTGTGGAAATCAAGAAAATGTTATAATGAAGTCAAATTTTGCTCTAAAGCTCCCTTTTCTGGTCCGAGAGCAATTTAATTTAATTTATAGTGATTTTTCCACTTTTATTTTATAATCTGATTTTGAAGAAAGATTCAAATATAGAAAGTAATCATTTTTAGGGGCCACCAAATATTTTGGATCATGCAAAGAATATATATTGTACTGTAGAAATTTTGTAATGATATTTGTATGACATTGTTATGGACGTGAGTTTGTTTCACTGCTTGGATCTGTGCATTGATAAGAATAAACACTTTTCAAAAATCACTGATTACATTATTTGTCTAATGAATTTCAAAGGTATTAAATATGAAGGTATATTGACAACTTTGGAAATACAGTCTGATTCGAATTTTGTGCAAGTTTTTATTTTTTTTATGTTAAGTGCAAAGTAATTTCAAATGATGCATTTGGATTATCTTTAAGATCAAATATGTACCTGCTACACAATTTATATATATATATATGTATATATATATATATATATATATATATGTATATATATATATATATATATATATATATAT